TTATGGAGGGAAATAAAGCAAAGACCGTGAAGTGGGCTCATGCCTGGTGAATTTCAGGAATGGTCAGTAGATAGGGCAGCTGAGCCAAATGAGTGGCTGATCTTGGCTAGGCTCTGCTGGGGTTGACGCAAATTCAGGTCAACTACACGTGTCTTTTATTCTTCTGGGATGAACCTGTTTGATTCCGGGGGTTTGTACAGAAGGGAAGACAATATCTCAGAGGTTCACAAGGGGCTGGATTGTGCACAGCCATGTAGGGCTATTGTGAGGACTTGCTTCTGCTCTGAATGAGGTGGGGAGCTACGGGAGAGTTTTGAGCAGATGGAGGTCAGGCTCTGCTATGCATTTTTATAGGATTTGTCCAGCTGCTAAGTGTGGACTGAATGGACCAGAAATAAGGGCTGAAGCAGGGAGAAAAGATAAGAAGCTACTGACACAAACCAGGCAAGAGATGGTGATGGTTTGAACCAAAGTTGGACTCCGAGGTTCTTTTCAAAGTAAAATCAAAAGAATTTACTGATAGATTTGGTATGGGGTGTTTGAGGAAAAAAAAAAAAAATTGAGGATGACTCCAAGGCTTCTGGTCTGAGGAACTGAAAGAAAGAATTTGCCAGTAACTGAGATGAAGAAGGCTGTAGAAGAGAACTTCTGGGGGCAGGTGGAGAAATAGAGGAGGAATTAGCAGTTTCATTTGGGACTTGTTAAATTTAAGTAAGCTATGAGTCTTCCAAGTGCAGATGACTAATCAGAAGTTAGATGTATGAATCTGAGCCCAGGAGAGAGGTCCAGGCTGGAGATGTAATTTTGGGGAGTTACTATGTACTAAACTGTGTCCTCCCCAAATTTATATATTGAAACCCTAACACCCAGTGTGACACTATTTGGAGATAGGACCTTTAAGGAGGTTAAAAGAGATCGTAGAGTGGGCCCTAATTCAACAGGACTGTTGTCCTTACAGGAAGATGAAGAGATATCAGAGGTCATTCTCTCCCCATGCCGGTGCTCAGAGGAAAGGCTGTGTGAGGACACAGCTAGAAGGCAGCTGTTTATAAGCCGGGCAGAGAGCCTTCACCAGAAACCCTCCCTGACAGCACCTTGATCTCAGATTTCCAGCCTCTCAGTGAGAGGCTCAACTGTGAGAAAATAAATTTCTGTTGTTTAATCCTCTCAGTCTGTGGTATTTTTTTACGGTAGTTCGAGCAGACTACTACTGAGTCATCAACAGAGAAACGGTTTTTAAAGTCATGACAGGCCAGGCGTGGTGGCTCACACCTGTAATCCCAGCACTTTGGGAGGCTGAGGCAGGCAGATCACTTGAAGTCAGGAGTCTGAGACCAGCCTGGCCAACATGGTGAAACTCCGTCTCTATTAAAAATGCAAAAATTAGTCCTGTGTGGTGGCATAATCCCAGTCTATAATCCCTGCTGCTCAGGAGGCTGATGCAGGAGAATTGCTTGAAAGCAGGAGGCAGAGGTTGCAGTGAGCTGAGATCGAGCCACTGCACTCCAGCCTGGGCAACAAGAGTGAAACTGTTTCATAAATAAATAAATAGCCATAAGGCTGGGTGAAATTGCCAAGGGAATGAATGTAGACAGAGAAGGAAGACCAAGGACTGAGCCGTGGGGCATCCAACAGTAAGAGACAAGGAACTAAAAAGGAGCCTGAGAAGGAGGAGCCAGTGGGGTAAGTGTCCTGGGGACCAAGTAAAAAAAGTATTTCGTGGAGGGAGTGCTGATCCCCTGATCCCCTGTGTCAGATGCTGCTGAGGGTCTGATTGGAGTGGGATTAAGAGAGAATAGGAGAAAATATAAATATAGACATAGAAAGGAAGGAAAAAAGGAAGGAAGGGAAGGAAGGAAGGAAGGAAGGAAGGAAGGAAGGAAGGAAGGAAGGAAGGCAGGCAGGCAGGCAGGCAGGCAGGCAGGCAGGCGGGCTCTTTTTTTTTCTTTTTGAGATGGAGTCTCACTCTGTCACCCAGGCCGGAGTACAGTGGTGTGATCTTGGCTCACTGCAACCTCTGCCTTCCAGGTTGAAGCGATTCTCCTGCCTCAGCCTCTTGAGTAGCTGGGATTACAGGTGCGTGCCACCACATCTGGCTAATTTTTGTATTTTTAGTATCAATGGGGTTTCACCATATTGGCCAGGCTTGTCTCGAACTCCTGACCTCAGGTGATCTGCTTGCCTCGGCCTTCCAAAGTGCTGGGATTAGAGGTATGAGCCACCGCACCTGGCCTGGAGAGCTCTTTTTAAGAGTAGAAAGCTTGGCCAGGCGTGGTGGCTCATGCCTGTAATCCCAGCACTTTGGGAGGCCGAGGCAGGCAGATCACCTGAGGTCAGGAATTCGAGACCAGCCTGGCCAACATGGTGAAAACCCATCTCTACTAGAAATACAAAGTTAGCCAGGTGTGGTGGCACACACTTATAATCCCAGCTCCTCGAGAGGCTGAGGCAGGAGAATCGCTTGAACCCGGGAGGCAGAGTTGCAGTGAGCTGAGATAGTGCCATTGCATTCCAGCCTGAGCAATAAAAGTGAAACTACATCTCAAAAAAAAAAAAAAAGAGTAGAAAGCCAATGACTAAATGTAGAAGAATAGGAGTTGGCAACCGCCATAGCAGAGAATCATTAATGGACACTGCGGTAGTGGATTAAAGTTTGATGAGAAATAGGGCATTTGCGCAGTCTTAGAATATCTCCGCCCAAGGTACTTATTAATTACAAAGGGTAAAATAGTAACTTTACAGTGGAGAAACCCAGCAGACACCACTGGACCAAGTGATAAAGTGAACATCACCAGTAGCAGGGCAAATTGACGTCACGTGACTTCCGAGATGATGCACTGAGTAGGACGTAGCGTCACTTCGGTGATATTTCTGCCAAAGAGGCATAATTGACTCATGAGGAAACATTACAGAAGCCCAAAGTGGCCAGGCGCGGTGGGATCCGCTTAATCCAGGACCTTTTGGGAGGGCCGAGGCGTGGCGGATCGAGGTTTCAGGGAATGAGACCCAGCGTGGACTAACATGGGTGAAGTGTTCTCTCACTAAAATACAAAAAAACTAGCTGGCGGGTGCGGGCGCCTGTAATCCCAGGCTTACTGGAAGCTGAGAGGAGAATGGCGTAACTCGGGAGGGCAGGAAACTTGCAGTTGAGCTGAGGATTCAGCACTGCACCCCCCCAGGCCTGGCGTGGCGGCGACAGAGCGAGATCCGTCTCAAAAAAACCAAAAACAAAAAAACACAAAATTCGGCTGCGGCATGGTTGTCGTGTGCTGTAATCCAACACTCAGGAGAGGCTGAAGGGCAGAATCGCTTGAACCAGGATGCGAGGTTGCAGGTGGCCCAGAGTTTGCACCACTGCACTCTAGCCTGGGCAACACAGCAAGACTCTGTCAAAAAAAAAAAAAAAAAAAAGCCCAAAGTGAGGGATATCTTTGCAAAATAACAGGCCTTACTCTTTAAAAATGTTGAAGTGACAGAAGACAAAGAAAGACTGAGGAATAGTTTTAGATGAAGGAGAATAATGTAATTACAACTATTGAATGCCATGTGAGATCCTAGATTAAGAAAAAATCATTTTCATTTACTACAATATATATTAACTAGACAAGTGGTGAAATCTGAATAAGATCTGTAGATTAGATAATGGTTTTGCATCAATGTAAAACGTTCCGATTTTGGTTATTATAAGAGAATGTCCTTTCTTTTAGGAAATGTGCACTGGTTTTTAGGCCTGTAACTTACCATGAAAGAGTTCAGGGTTGGAGGAAAGAGAAATAAATGATAAAGCAAAGATGGTAAAATCTGGGTAATGGGTATTTGGCTATTCTGTTTTTGTTTTTGAAACAGGGTCTCACTCTGTTACCCCAGCTGGAGTGCAGTGGTGGGATAACAGCTCACTGCAGCCTCAACCTCCCAGGCTCAAACAGTGCTCCCACTTCAACCTCCTGAGTAGCTGGGACCACAGTTGCGCACCACCACACCTGATTAATTTTTAAATATTTTGTAGAGATGGGGTCTCCCTGTGTTGCCCAGGCTGGTCTCAAATTCATAGGCTCAAGCAATCCTCCCATCGCAGCCTCCCAAAATACTGGGATTTCAGGTGTTAGCCATTGTGCCTGGTGATATTTGAGTGTTCTTTGTACTACTTTGTAACTTTTCTGTAAGTGACATTATGTCAAAATAAATTCTAAAAAGAGAGAATAGAAGGAAAGAAAGTAGAGACACGGAGGCAGTGAGTCCAGGCAACTTTTTGAGGAGTTTTGCTATAGGACTGAGGACAGGTGGCAGGTGGAGAGCAAAATGGGGTCAAGATAAGTTGTTCAAAGGCAGAAATTGTAGCATGCTTTTATGCTGATGAGAGAGTTTCAGTAGACTGGAAAAAAGTAATAATGCAGAGAGAGAGAGAGAGAGAGACAGAAAGAGAGAGAAGAGAGTGGCTAGAATGGTGTCTCTGAAGAGAGGGAAGGATGGCCTTGATCTTGGAGCACAGATGGTTCATCCATGGTCACAGAAGGGAGGGGAGAGTATTTGGGTACCAGATTGGTAGGTAGGTAGCTGTGCAGAGGAAATGTGTGGAAATGCTTTCTGATTGCTACCGTTTTCCCTGTGAAATAGTAAGCAAGGTCCTCAGCTAAGAGTGAGAATGGGGAAGAAGGTGATGGAAGTTTGAGAAGATAGGAAGGAAGTGCTTAGGGAAAGTGAATGGACCTACTGTGATTGTCAGGCAGAGCAAAAGACTCCACTGAAGCTATCATCATTCAAGTAAAGTGAGGCCAGTCTACATGGTGGTGTGTTGTTCTCCAGCCACATTCCACTGCAGGGGGACAAACACAAAGGGATATGGAGTTGGCACCAACTAACAGGTGTTTAGCCAGAGAGGGGCAGGGAGATCTTGGGAGTATGCAGCACAATGGGGATAAAGTTATACCATGTCTGTAATCCTCAAGGAAGGAAGGAAGGACAGGGAAACACCAAGGTTCAGAAAGGTTTAAGTGACTTACCCAAGCTTGCACAGCTAGTGAGTTGGTCTCTGCATGCAGGCACTGTGGCTCATAGCTTATTCTCTCACGAGCCCAGCATGCGTAGGCTGTCTCCAGCGTGTAGCATGGCATCTGGCACATGTAGCCTCTGCTAACAAGTGAATTAAATTGTACCTGGGGTTCTCTCTGCCTTTCATTCTGTGCCTCTGAAGAATACTAAAATAAACAAACAAACAAACAAAACAAAACCAAAAAAACCCTAGCTTCTTCCTTCCCTTCAAGCTGTTTTTGTGTCTTAGCACGCATGATGAAGGAGATGGACCATCAGTCTCCTTTGGGTGGCCACTGGTTCATGCCTGCAGTCTGGCTTTCAGCAGGTCATTCTCAGCACATACTCTGGGACAGACACTTCCTCAGGTTCTCAGTACACAGCAGGAAACACGTCAGTGTTCCTGACCTGGTGGAGCTCAGTCAAGTGCGGAGAAGATAAGCAGACAAATCTAGCATTGCAAACTGGGATTATTGCCAGGAGAGACAAGCGGGCGGGGTATGAGAGTGCATGAGAGTAAAGCTGACCTAGTGGAGGGAGGGAAGAAGAGTTTACCCAAGGAAGGCCAGGAGGGGGTGGCCCGTGGGGCTGACCAAAGAGGAGAAACAGCATGGGCAAAGGTCCTAAGATAGGAACATGCCTGTTAATGGCATATCAAGGAGGCCATTGTGGTCCAGACGTACATGGAGAGGGTGGAGGGTGGGAGGGAACACTGTGGGAAATGAGATGGGAGAGATTGGCAGGGTCCAGTACACCCTGTAGAGGAATTTGATTTAAGAACAATAGGGTTTAAGCAGGGAATGATTTCGTAAGGTTTTACACTTAACAGCCGGGTGCGGTGGCTCACGCCTGTAGTCCCAGCACTTTGGGAGGCCGAGATGGGCAGATGGCTTGAGCTCAGGAGTTCAACATGGGGAAATCCCATCTCTAAAAAATATACAAAAATTAGACTGGGTGCAGTGGCTCACGCCTGTAATCCCAGTACTTTGGGAGGCCAAGGCGGGCGGATCACGAGGTCAGGAAATCGAGACCATCCTGGCTAACATGGTGAAACCCTGTCTCTACTAAAAATACAAAAAAAAAAAAAAAAAAAAAAAAACGGGGGGGGGGGGGGGGCGCCTGTAGTCCCAGTTACTCAGAAGGCTGAGGCAGGAGAATGGTGTGAACTGGGAGGCGGAGCTTGCAATGAGAGCCGAGATCATGCCACTGCACTCCAGCCTGGGGCGACAGAGCAAGATTCCTCTCAAAAAAAGAAAAATAGGCCGGGCACAGTGGCTCAAGCCTGTGATCCCAGTACTTTGGGAGGCCGAGACGGGCGGATCACGAGGTCAGGAGATTGAGACCATACTGGCGAACACAGTGAAACCCTGTCTCTACTAAAAAAATACAAAAAACTAGCCGGGCGAGGTGACAGGCGCCTGTAGTCCCAGCTACTTGGGAGGCTGAGGCAGGAGAATGGCGTAAAACCTGGGAGGCGGAGCTTGCAGTGAGCTGAGATCCAGCCACAGCACTCCAGCCTGGGCGACAGAGCAAGACTCCGTCTCAACAACAACAACAACAACAACAAAAAATATATATATACACACACACACACACACACACACACATATACATATATGCGTATACATATATACATATACATATATATGTATACACACACACACACACAAATTAGCAGGGCGTGGCAGCATGTACCTGTATTCCCAGCTACTTGTGGGTCTGAGTCAGGAGGATTTCATGAACCCAAGGAGTTCAGGCTGCAATGAGCCTGCACTCTAGCCTCAGTGACAAAGTGAGATCCTGTCTCAACAACAACAAAAAATTATTTTACATTTATAAAAGATCTCTTTGGCTGCTGGGCCAGGAGCAGGGAGGATGGGAGGCAGGGAGAGGAGTAGAGGTGTGGGAGGAGGGGAGGCAGGAGAGGAGTGGAGGTGTGGGAGGAGAGTAGGCAGTGGGTGGGCCAGGAGAGAGATGATGTGGCACGGGCTAAGATGGAAGCAGTGCAGATAAAGAGAGATGGGTTGAGTTGGGACATATTTTGGAGCTGGAGTTCACCCCAGGGAAACTGAGGCCTAGTGCTTCCAAGGATAGCTCTCCAGCTCTCCCAGCCCAATGGAGGCTTTTTGATACTTCTGCACTGTGGGGTCACATGCAGGTGGTTGCACTGGGGGATGAGTGGCCAGGACAGGTGACCTCTGACTTTTGTCTGGTGAAGCGTGAGTCTTGGACTGGGCTTTGAAGGAGCCATGGGTACCTTGCTGGGCAGGTGGAGCATGTCCTTAGAGGATCATCCCATCATCCCCACGTAACCCTAGACAGGTCACTTCTGCTCTCTGAGCCATAGTTCTCACACTTGTAACATGAAGAGGGACAGCAGTATCCACTTTGGCGACATCATTCCCATCTTACAGATGAGAAAACTAGGCCACATACAGTGGCTTATGCCTGTAATCCTAGCACTGTGGGAGGCTGAAGCAGGCAGATCGCTTGAGCCCATGCATTTGAGACCAGCCTGGGCAACATGGAAAAATTCTGTCTCTACAGAAAATACAAAAATTAGCTGTGTGTGTGGTGTGGTGGCACGCGCCTGTAGTCCCAGCTACTTGGGAGGCTGAGGTAGGAGGATCACTTGAGCCTGGGAGGTGGAGGTTACAGTGAGCTGAGATCTACCACTACACTCCAGCCTGACAGAGTGAGACTTTGTCTTAAAAAACCCCCCCAAAACAAACAAAACTCCAAAAGAAAACAGATGAGACAACGGAGCTGCCGTGAAAGGAAGTGGCTCTTTAGGGTCATACACGAATAAATGACACAGCCAAGACTAGCATCCAGGCCGGAGCCTGTGCTGTGCTGTGCTGTGCTGTTGACCTTTCTGCATCATCATTTTCCTCCCATATCTGTCCTGGGCTCTTCAGTCCTGGGGATGCTTAACTCACCCAACATTGTATTTCAAGCACAGGGAATCCAGGACTAGTTAGTTCAGTGGTTAGGGGTATGGACGGCTTGAATTCAATTTCCAGCCCCACCAAGGGGCCTTATTCTGTCTGCACCTTGGTTTTCTCCTCTGCAAAATGGGACTAACAGTGCACACCCTTGTAACCACCTGGTAGGGGAACTGTACAGATGTAATGATTTGTGCAGGTGAGTCATTTACAAGCCTTTGGAGCGGCTGGCACCCATCATTGTTTGCTATTGCTGTGATTATCATGCCATCGGACTATGGCTTGAAACCTACAGGCCCAAGGCTCCCTTCGACAGTAGTTATAATACTTCTTTTCTAAAATACAATACATGAGTAACATAACCTGCTGACACACATAGTTTTTTTTTTTTTTTTTTTTTGAGACTGAGTGTTGCTCTGTCATCCAGGTTGGAGTGCAGTGGTGCAATCTTGGCTCACTGCAACCTCCGCCTCCCGGGTTCAAGTGATTCTCCTGCCTCAGCCTCCCGAGCAAGTGAGGCTACAGGTGTGCGCCACCATACCCAGCTAATTTTTGCATTTTTAGTAGAGACAGGGTTTCACCATATTGGCCAGGATGGTCTCAATCTCTTGACCTCATGATCCTTCTGCCCTGGCGTCCCAAAGTGCTGGGATTACAAGTGTGAGCTACCACACCCAACCATACATAGTTTTAAACATAAATGTCCTATTTGTAATTTAAAAGAAAATAAAATGAAAATAATCTAGAATAAATTAATATGTAAATGTTCCAGGGCAATGTGTAGAAAACATCACAAAGTAGTTGGGTGGGTGCTGCTCTGGGTGGAATCATTGAGAATCTGCAGGCTGAATTGGTAACGCCGCACTGGTAGCACATGCACCGTGACTGCATGGCTGTGATAGTCTGAAATGTGAGCAGTTCTAGGTAAAGTTCTGAACCAAACACAATCCATTCTGTTCCCAATCGCTGCAGACTAAATATTTGTCTCCTCCAAACTCTTACGTCAAAGCCTAATCCCCAACGTGGTGGTATTAGGAGCTGGGGCCTTTTGGAGGTGATTAGGTTATGAGTGCAGAGTACTCATGAATGGGATTAGTGCCCCTATAAAAGAGGCTCCAGAGAGCTCTGCTGCCCCTTCTACCATGTGAGGACACAGTGAGAAGCCATCTTTGAACCAGGAAGCGGCCCTCACCAGACATGGAATCTGCCAGCTCCTGGATGTTGGACTTGCCAGGCTTTGGATCCGTAAGAAATACATTTCTGTTGCTTATAAGCCACCAGTCTGTGGTAATTTGGTACAGTGGCCTGAACTGACTAAGACACCAATTTATGTGGAGGTTGCTTTCCTGGCAGAGTCACTGTGTATTAAAACCAAGCAAACACACACTGTGCTGAAAAAGGCAAAACTATAGAGACAATAAAAAGATTAGTGGTTGCCAGGGCTCAGGGGAGGGGAGAGAGGGATGCATAGGTGGAGCACAGGGCATTTTTAGGGCAGGGAACCTCTTCCATATGACACTGTAGTGGTAGATAAAGGATGTTATGCACTTGTCAAAACCCAGCATGGGCCAGGCATGGTGGCTCACGCCTATAATCCCAGCATTTTGGGAGGCCGAGATGGGCAGATTGCCTGAGCTCAGGAGTTTGCAACCAGCCTGGGCAACATGGTGAAACCCCGTCTCTACTAAAAAATACAAAAAATTAGCCAGGTATGGCGGCGTGTGCCTGTAGTCCCAGCTACTCGGGAGGCTGACGCAGGAGAATTGCTTGAACCCAGGAGGTGGAGGGTGCAGTGAGCCAAGATCATGCCACTGCCCTCCAGCCTGAGTGACAGAGCGAGACTGTCTCAAAAACAAAAAACAAACAAACAAACAAACAAACAAACAAACAAAAACCCAGCATGGTAGAACTGTGCAACACAAAGAGTGAACTGTAAGGTAAACTGTGGATTTCAGTTAATAATTCTGTGCCAAAATTGGTTCATCAGTTATAACAAATGCACCATACTAATGTAAAATGTTAATAACAGGAGAAACTGCATGTTTGGAGAAGGAGTACAAGGGAACTGTCTATGATTTCTGTGTCATTTTTCTTTTTCTTTTTTGAGAGAGGGTCTTGCTCTGTTCTCCAGGCTAAAGTGCAGTGGCACGATTAGAATCCACTGCAGCCTCAAACTCCTGGGTTCAAGCAATCCTTTAGCCTCAGCCTCCCGAGTAGCTAGGACCACATGCATGTGCCACCATGCCCGGGAAATAAAAAAAAAAAAATTGTGGAGACAGGGTCTTGCTATGTTGCTCAGGCTGGTCTCAAACTCTTGGCCTCAAGCAATCCTCCCATTTCGGCCTCCCAAAGCACTGCGATTACAAGTATG